GGTGGCAAGATGACATATCAATTTGTTCGAATGAATTTGTCTCCTGCTTTACCTAGTGTACAAACATTAAATAAATTAATATCAAATAGTGATCTTAAAATAAATGAAGCACATTTTCTGTTTAATAAATTACATGAATATCTTAATGGAATTGATGTTAAGTATGCGTTTGGTTCAGAGGATTGTACAGGTGTAACACGAAAAATAAATTATGACCAACAAACAAACTCATTTGTTGGATTTGCTACGCCACTTGTTAATGGAATACCAGTTTCCAAGTACTATCAAACAAATTCCTTCGATCAATTAGAATCATGGTTCAGCTCGTCAGATAAATCATCTTTATTGAATATACATATGATTCAACCTTTACCATCGTCAAATAATTCAACTGTTCCATCTGCATTTTTATTGTCTGGTTATGGTGTTGTCAACACTTATACATCAATGGATATATTAAGGCGATGGTTGTTTATATTTGATAATTGTTTACAGAAAAATATTCGAATCATTGGTTTCTCAACAGGTGAGATAATACTTTTTTGCTATTTATGTTTCAACAGCTCTGAAAGATAATGTATTTTATTCTTTGTTTATTTTGCTCAGATGGTGATGCCAAATATCTTCGTGCTATGCGCTTAGCAAGTGAGTTTTTTGCATCATTGTTTTACTTTAAATTAAATGAGCGTCAGGCAGCATTTGATTTAACAATAACAACAACAAAATGGTGTTGGTTTTATTTAAGAAGCAAACAGCTGTTGTTGTTTTTCCAAGATCCCATCCATTTAGCTACCAAATGGAGGAACCGTTTGTTGTCTTCAACAGCACAACTTCGTCTTGGTAAACAACACATTTCTATAGAACATTTAATCGACATTATTGAAGATTCTAATTATTCTAAATTAGATCATGGATTGACTAGAAGTGATTTAAATCCTAAGGACCGTCAGAATTTCAATTCATGTGTTAAAATAGTTACAGATGATATATTGTCTATATTGGTTGCTAGTGCTGATACTTATGGAACATTTATTTATTTACATTTGCTGAAAAAAATAATATCGACTTATATTGAAAAAACAACAAAAATTAACGATCGTTAGTAAATTGAATTTGAATATGGAGTTGAAGATTTAAAGAATCTTATTTCTTTCATTTATATCTTTTTCAGGTTTACAATCAGCCTGGTGTATTGTATTCATTTGTCGTATGTGGTGGACTTGGATTCAACATAAACAATTCACGTCAACAACAGCTTCGGCAACAACAAAAAGAAACAGCAAAGCAAAATTTTTTATTACAAAAACAGCGTACTTATCAGTTGAACTGAATGCTCACAATCTGCTTTACATAATTTTGTTAGTTAAACAAAAGCAATTACCAAAAGAAGCATTGAATGTGTATTTATTTAATTCTCAGTCATGCGAATCAATGTTTCGTAATGCCAGATCATTGAGTGGTACATATTCAACAATAATTAATTTTACTGTTGCTGATTTTCTTAATCGTTCACAAAAAATTTCTATATTAAATCGAATAAAATGTGATAATTTATGTCAACAAGATGATAATGAACATTTGTCATTTCCTATTCATCACAAGCACAAGCGTGACAACCATTTATTATCTTTACAAAATTTAGATGATATTGATCAACTTGATGTTGAAAAGATCATTTCAGATGCATACAATGAAGCACTTGAATTAGCTGAGCGTTTAGAAATATCAAGATCACTGCAAGAAAATGACGTCTTTGACTTTGATTCATTAAATAAATACGTATTTCGACAACTAAGCTCAAGCTCCAAGATGTTTGATTACTCGACACAAATAATAAATGATGATGATGATGATGAATTCGATCTTGAAGAAGAAGAAGAAGAAGAAGAAGAAGGACTAGAAGAAAATGATAACAATGAAGCCGTTAATGAACTTAATGATGATGTCATCGTTGATCAAGAAGATGAAAATGATTCTAATATGACAACAATAAAAGCAAATTTCAATGGTATGAAAATTTTCGATGAAATTGAAATTTGTCGATGAGATTCTTATTTTAAACTGAAGATTAATGACAGTTATAAATATATTCATAAGCAATCAGCTTGTTGGTTATTAACTGATAAAAACATGCGTTTATCAAATGATCGACTCTCTCGAGTCATCCAATCAAGTCGTAAAGATAATAACAATCTTTTTTAATTTATTGTACCGATTAGATTTTTTCTTACAAATAAATTTGAAGAAATTTCTAAGCACATTCAT